TATACTCATTCCCTTATTAAACTCCCTTCTTTCCCCTTTAAGGGTTATACTTTTCCACAGGACTTCAAAAGAATTCCACCTGGTGCCTAATATCTTAAAACTTTTAGACAAAGCAGGTTTTTTAGTTTTTAACTCATTCTGCTACTTTTCAGATTAAGAAGATGGGAACTGGATCAAGTAAAATGTTCAAGGCACTCCTTTCCCAAACATTCTCCAAAGACAGAAATTTCCTTTCTGAGATGTCATACTCAGATCACTCTAGGTGGAGAAAAGAGAGCAATCAAGACAGCAAAAGGGGAGAAGGGGAATTTTTTAAAAGCATTTGTATGTGGGAGCCCAGAGAACTCTGACTTCAGGAAGGGCAGTCACAAGGCAGCATCTTGGCCCAGCTCTTTGTGTTCCCCTTGCTTTCTCTTTGTCCAGCCTGCTCTGCTTACTCCTCTGGTCACACTGAAAATGGCAGTTACATGCTAAGTCTACCTGGCCTTCCAACTTAGCACCTGCTGTACGTTACACCTTCCTATTGTCTGAGAGAGAATGTGATGGCTCCACGTCATTTCTTTTTCTGGGTCCTGGGAAGCCTGTGAGGGGCTGATTGTCCTAGGCTCAGAATTCTTTTTTCTTTTGATAGTTAATTTTTCTTTGAACAAGTGGGGAAGGGTATAAGGAAGTTCAGCCTTCTCAGAACCACAGTTGGGAGTGGAGGCGGCTTATCAACAGGAAGCTGTATTAATTTATAATATTAACTGCATTGATCACAAGGTACCAATTAACAAAATAATAAAGGAGGCTTTATTAGTAGCAGAGAGCAACTGGGTAGCTTAAACAATTTATGGTATTACTGTTCTGGAGGTTAGAAGTCAGAAAATAGGGTGTTTATTAGGTCAGTTCCTTCTGAGGACTGTGAAGGAAGAATTTGTTCCATGCCTTTCTTCTAACTTCTGGTAAGGCCAAGCATTCCTTGGCTTGTAGATGACATTCTCCCTAGTCTTTACCTTGTCTTCCTTCTGTACATGTCTCTCTGTGTCTAAATTTCTCATTTTTATAAGGTCCCCATCATACTGGATTAGGGCCCCACCTTCAAGTTCTGAAGGTTAGGACTTCACCATCTTTTCTGGAGAAACATAATCCAGCCCATAACAGGGCAGGGCCAACAGATGTCTCTCCTCCCAGGGCTCCCAAGGATTTCCTGGTGACCCCACTTTGCTGGTCCTCCCAACATACTAGATACTAGAGAGAAATGTTAGCTTCAAATCGAGGTTCCCTCTGTAGTTAGAAAGATACTTGTGATCTCCATGTAAACATGTTCTATGGGTAAACAATGCCCCACTGGACACTAGCCAGGAATACAGCCTTTCTATTTTGTAAATCTTCCTGTTTGTTTTTTCCTACAGGAAAAAATTATTTATAACAAGGATAGGACCATAGCTCTCATAGCAACTGTAATACGGTGATAATAGTTACAACAGCAATAGTATATTAGAATTTTCAAAGCCTTTTCTCATGACAGTTGATCCTCACAATTATGTGAAGTAAGAAAAAGAGATTTTCTCAGTTCTTTGTGCCTCAGTTTCCTTGTCTGTGAAACTGTGGCAATAGCTACTTAAAGGATTGTTGCCTGGGTTAAATGTTACTAAACTTGAAAGCACTGGTACCCCCTAAGCGTGCTGTAATGAATGCTGCTTTCCATGTTGTCATTTATTTTGCAGAGGGCAAAAGGAGATGCAGAGGTTAAGAGGCAAGACTTCCAAAGCAACTACAGAGCTGAGACTGGTCCTTACAGATCAGGGGCAAGAGGATCAAATGGATACCTCTGGGAACCCAAAAGGAAATGCCTTTCCCTCCCCGCCCCCTCTTCCTATCTTCTAGCCTAGAGTTACTTTGCTAGAGGTTCATAGAATGCCCTTTCTTTAAACTGTTTTCATTTATTTTATTTCCTGTTAAAGCTATTTTGCTTTTAACAGAATTAGGAAAGTATAAAGAAAATGCATTTTAGGATAAAATAACATGCAAATCCTATAATATCCAAAGGGCATGCAGAAAGGGAAAAGGAAAAGGAAAATCTTTCTCTCTCTCTTTCTCTCTCTCTCTCTCTCTCTCTCTCTCTCTCTGTCACACACACACACACACACACACACACACACACACACATTAAAAGTCATGGAAATATTTTCTGGCAAACAGTACAAAATGCTTCCTTACAGTCTCTGTTAGTCTCCTTTCAGTGTATGTGTCAAGCCCTTCTCTCTTACTTTCCTCCCACGTCTCCTTGCCTTCCCACCTATTGGAGACTTGTTTTCTCTCTCTCCCCTCCTTGCTCCATTTTAAGATACCTTGGGTTGGGATCCCAAGGGCCTCCTTCTAAGATGAATCAGGTGACAACGACTGCCAGGAAAAATTGGTGGGGGAATAACAGTGGGGTCAGGGAGGGAGGTACTGGGAGGTAGCAAGCAGAGTGCTCTGGGAGACGTAGAGGCCATACTTCAGTGTTGTCCTCATCAGGAAGGCATGGACAGCAGCTGGAGTCGTTTTCGCCCCTGCAATCAACAATCATGTGTTGCTAAGGCCTCCTCCTACTTTCCTCCCTATGAAGAAAATTCCCAGTGGTTCCAGCTCTCTCTGTGCAGGACTGAGGGTGGGCCTTTACAAGAAAACAGGTGCTGGCTGTTAGGGATGAAGGCACAGCTGAAGCTGGTACGTGGGAAGGTGGTGGAGAGATCTGAGGGGAAAGAGGCCCACTCCATAGGGTATGTGATGAATTTCAGGGCTCTGGTTCTTGAAGAACTGCATGAAGCCCTCCCCAATGGGGCTAAGGGTGGGAGGCTTTATGTTCTTCTGAGAGGAGAGTCTATAAAACAAACACACGTATCTGTTGCTTACATGCATTGTCTTTTGACAAAGCTTTGATGTTTTATGCCACCCAGAGTTTTTTTAATTTGTTTTACTGAACTCAGGAAAGAGGGGGCAGACAGTTGATAAGAGTGAAGGTAAGAGAAAATTCCACCAATCCACAAACATATTTTGTTCCATATTAATTGATTTTTCTTTTTCTTTTTTAAGATTTATTTATTTGTTTATTTATGCATATAAGAACTGGGGTGCAGGCCAGAGGTGCAGGGGGTGAGAGGATTCACCAGAAACAGAGTGGGGAGCAGAACAGGCAGACTGACTGAAATACACTGCCGAGGGGAGCAGCAGGCCAGACAGGAGAGGTCTGCTGCTCCATGTGGGTAGCTCCCTGGACGGGAATCGAACTCGTGCTGCAGTGGCTGGCGATAGCTTGATAGCACTGAGACTTTAACCCCTGTGCCACCAGGGAGGCCTATTAGTTGATTTTTCAATGAAATTAGGGATTGCTGAGACTAAATTTTCATGCCGGTTAAACCAGGTCTGTGGCCCTATGGTCTCTGTTCTCCTAGAAAGAATTCTTGGTTCAATGTCATAAGCCCCCTCGCCCAACCTGCAATTCTCACACATCTTTCACTCTTGCCTTTCTCGTTCCTTCCTCTTCTGTCCAAAATTATCCTTAATTTCTGTATTCTTTCTCTGTTTTGCTTCTTTAAAAGTCATGGACTCAATAGCGAGGAGAGATAATGAGAGAGATGGTGAGATACTGTGATTTATAAGAAATAAATATTTGGTCTTCCTGCAGAACTCCAAGATCACATCTCCCAAAAGCCTTAGAATTTCCCAAGCATTGAGAGTGTTAAAGGTGTCTCTTGTTATGTTAATAAGGTAACTTTTGTAAAACACCTGTAAATGGCGGTTGGCTAGTTGCCAAGGGAACCAACAGTGTGATTAGAGGGTTGGCACTTCCAGTCTCACCCCCTGACCTTTGGGGAAGAGAGACAGGCTGCGGGATTGGGTTCAACTGCTAATGGCCAGTGATTTAATCAATCAGGCCTTTGTAATGAAGCTTCCATGGAAATTCAAAAGGAGAACTTTGGGGAACTTCCAGGTTGTGGAGATCCGGGGAGAATGGTATGCCTGGAGAAGGCACAGAAGCTTGAAAGCTCTTTTCCTTTATTCCTAACTTGCCCTATGTATCTATTCCATCTGACTCTAAATTATATCCTTCTAATAAATCAGTGATCTAGTGAGTAAACTGATTTCCTGAGTTCTGCACACAGTTCTCGCAAATTAATTGAGCCTGAGGAGGAGGTCCTGGGAAACTTTGATTCATAGCAGGCTAATCAGAAGCACAGGTAATAGCCTGGGTTTGTGGCTGGTGCCTAAAGTGGAGGCAGTCTTGTAAGACTGAACCCTTTACCTATGAAATGTGATGCTACACCTAGGTAAATGGTGTCAGAATTGAGCTGAATTGAGTTTAATTCTTGGAAATCCCACTGGTGAGTGAGAATTGCTTGGTGTGGGGGCAGTGTAGGGTAAAGAAAATATCAGGCTTTTCTGCCCTTCCGCCATCAGGATAGATGATGGATCCTTGTCCTGAATGCATGCCTGATGGCGGGCACCTGGAATAGGGTGTGGGCATAGGTAGGTGGGATTCAACTGAGTTAAGACTGTGCTTTTAAGGGCGGCGTCACGGGGACGTCAGCAGCAGCAGCAGTGGCTGAAGCCGAAGCCGAAAGAGAAGCCGAGAAGCAGCAGAACGAACGCCAGAGAGCCCAGATAGAGTAAAGACTTGCTGGGGGCTGGGAGGCCTGCCAGCCTCCCAGCCCCCCAGCCAGCACCCCTGCCTGCCATATGCCTGGTGAACCCCAATAAAAGACCTGCAAAAACCCACTAAGGACTCTGACTCCTCCTTTACCCAGTCAGCATGGGATCAGAAAACCTGCACTGTGGTCCAGTTCTGCCTTTACAGCAGTCTTTACTTCTACTAGAATTGGGTCTAGAAACACCTTATACAGAAGGATTGAACACCCATCTGGATCCTTTTGGGGAAGAGGGATTTGTGGTGAGGAGAGACTTGGTAAATTAACCTTCAGTGGTAGGATTGAAAAATCACATCAGAGGCAGCATGGATAAAAGGCAACAGGGACATATAAAAGGAGCATGCTGTCAGGGCTCTGTGTGTCAAAAGGTGATTTCAGGAAAGATATATTATCCCTAATGAGGGAAGATGCATTTCTGGCCTTCAGAAGACAGAACAATGGAAAGGAAATGCCTGGCCAGGAAGAGTCTCCTGGCACTTGGCACCTGTGTCAGAGAACTGGGCCACTTACCTTCAGTGCCTCTTGGCAGAAAGCAAGGTATTTCCTAATGGAGACTGATGATGCCGGAACTCAGAGAGATAATGAACTGAAACAGGATTCCTCTCTGAATTGAAAGTCAGGGCTGGTGATAATGAATGCAGTTGTCTCTATTGAGCCTGGAAGCTCCACTCTGCATGGAACGTTGTGAAATGAGCCCTTGCGTGTAGAACAACAGATTGTGAAGAGAGAAATCTATGTTTAAATCTATGTTTAAATTGCTGTTAAACTGAGCTAAGCAAAGTTGAGCCATACCCTTCCAGCTCAAAAGATTAATCCTACAAGTTAGGTGCTCAGCAATCTCTAAGAGGCTTGAAAACTTCTCTCAAGTCTTCCAGGCATCAGAAAGAAAACAGGCACAAAATTCCTGTGGAGGAGCTTAAGCATCTCAAGGGCAACTCACAACTCTTTCTCTGAATGGAGGGACATCAAGTCAGAAGCTTGTGATATTGTGAGGTGAACAAAAGACAGAACCCTCAGGTGCAAGTACTTCAAAAATCTAGAGAGATGTTTTCCGGGGCTGAAGAGTATTAGTAAAATATCCTAGACTTGGGGCATGTTACAGAAGGAATGTTTATCTTTTAATAAGATCAGATAACAAGTCTACGGATCCTGGACTCCCACTGTAACTCCCGACATCGCTAGCAATTCTTCTGTGCTGAATAGAAAAAGTTGGATCTGGACTGGAGAGATTTGCTCTTGAGGTAGGATATTTTATGGATCTTTAAATGGATGTTTATCTGCATAGTGTGATATTTGCATTTGCCATTTACTGTTTTTTAAACTCATGCCCCATATGACTGCCAATAGTGTATACATTCTGTGCTTCAGAATGGTTGAATTTTTATCAATCAATCAATTGTAGTTTTGATGATTTGAGGCAATCACACCATACATTAACAAATCACTTCTACAGTTTACAAAGCATTTTAGTATATATGCTATCAGTTTTCACAACATCTTTGTGAGAAAGTGTTCTCTCCATTTTCTAGATGAGGGAATTAGAGTCACAGGGATCAAGTACATACCCAACCTTCTGCAGCTTCCTGGCTTGTGCTGAGAAGTCAGTTCTCCTCCTGCAAATCTAATATTCTTTTCTTCATTCAATACTCATTAGTGAAATTAATTCCCTCGTAGAATAAAAGCTCACCCTACCAGGCTAGTTTTTCTCTTTTACAGGTACAATGTTAACAAATATTTAATTATGTATATCAAATTATGAATTTGGTGGAGTATATCTATAATGGGTCAGCATTAAATGAGTGTCAACTAGGACTGAAATAGGATTGTTATCCCCATCTAATGGGTAAGAAAATGAAAGACTGTATGTAGTGAATTTCCTAAAGTCTTGTTGAAATGCTATTATTAGCACTATTTCAAGCCTCCTGGTTAGCCTATCAAATACCTCTATATTTTCATTTCTTGCTTTGATGGACTGGTTATTTGCAATACCCACAAGAACACTTCCAACAGAGGTGTAATATGTGAGCTTACACAAGACCACAGGGAAGATATATATGTCTGTGCTTTGAAGGTTATGCAACTTGACAGAACAATTTTAAGAAAAAGAATACAAAATTAGTGAAGAACTCTTAAGATTAAGCTTCATTGAACTTCATGGTAAATCTTCCTCTGCCAATAGCTGGCAGGAGTGCTCCAGCAGGTCTCCCCATACTCCACATCCCAGAGTTACACTATTCCAGTGGGAAGGAATAAATTAATTTTTTCTCTCCCTTATGTACACCCTGGAGAGGTGGAGTGAAGCCTCAGTTGGAGACAAGTATATAGAGAGTAGCTGACCATTTGAAATCGAGTCTCTAAGACCAGATATAATACTTTCTAAGAAACCAAAATAATTTATTTTTTTTTTATTCTAGACAATAGACATATTTTATTTCTTACTGGGATGTAGTGTTTGTTTTTTTTTTTTAATTTAATATTATATTTAGCTTTTATTTTTTTTTAATATTAAATTTTATTTTTATATTCCCCCATACAATTGCAAACGCCCCATTCTGACCCCAATCCTTCCCCTCCCGCCCCCCACCCCCCAAAAAGTGTCTCTGGTTCATAGTTTTTTGTTGATTTTGATTTTCACTTTCTTATATTCATTTTCCTGGTCCCTTATTTAAGTTTTCTAGATTCCTGCTATGAGTGAGACCATCCGGTATTTTTCTTTTTCTTTTTGGCTTATTTCGCTGAGCATGATCTCTTCCAGTGCCATCCATGTTGCTGCAAATTGCATGTGTTTATCTTTTTTGAATGCTGAGTAATATTCCATGGTATATATGTACCACATCTTCTTGATCCAGTCATCTATTTTTGGGCATTTGGGTTGAGAAACCAAAATAATTTAAAGTTGTGATTGAGGAACAGTTTTTAAAAATCTTTTAACAAGTTTCCAAGGAAGGAATAGCCACAGTTCAGAGGAGAAAATTGTCACCCCCGCAAATTTCAGAGAAACTACAGACTCTGATAATCTTTACATGATTCATCAGCAAGTTTCTGGGATGGGTTATCTAAAAAGCAGTTGATTAAAATGTACAAAGGCGGGGGGGACGTGATTACCAGTTTCTAACATGGGTTCACAAAAAAGAAATCATAACAAATCAAGTTCATTTCCATTTTTAAATTGAAATACTAAACCCCAAGATCATATAAATATACTTGGGTTTTAGAAAGCTATTTGATAGGATCTTCCATGATTTCTTTTCAGACAAATTAGAGAACTTTGGATTGACCTATAGACTAGGTAAAAGAGATTGGTTTGGCTGACTGATGGACTGAGATGAATTGGTGCTGAAGTACAAAGTTAGAAGAATTGCCTGTTTCTCTTTAGCTTTTGTCTGGGACAATGGAGAGCAAAGATGAATAAGACAGACTCCTGCCTTCAGGTGTTGAGCAGAGGAAAAGAAGATCCATAAAGCACTAGCGATGATCATTATGGAGAGGGCTGTACCAGGGATAGTGCAGGAAAATGGTAAGGCTGGAGCAGAACCACTGGCCTGGAAGGTAGGAGGTCTTTTAGTGATATCTAAATTAGTGATATCTAATTAGTGATTAGTGATATTAGTGATTATTAGTAATATTAGTGATATCAGTAATTAGTGATTAGTGGCAATTAGTGATATCTAACTGTTCAGTAGATTGTCTTATAAAGTACTGAGGATTTCAACTGGAGATAAGATCATGCTCGGCAAAGAATGTTGAACCAAATGATTTTCAGATTCCCTTCCAATGCGAAGGTCCTGAGTTTGCTCATGGTTAAAAATAACAACAGTTGGTCTTAGCCAGATTAATCTGCCCAAAGTTCTAAGCATTTGTCTCCACAAACCTGACTGAAGAGCAGGGGTGGGGCGGGGGCCACTGGACAGAACTGCTGAGGTGGGTAACAGCCAACTTGGAAACCACAGATACACTGGGAGTAAACGAAGGGGTGGGGGTGGGAAAAGCGTGTTTGCTTATTTAGATTATTGGCATCCTTGTGAAAGGGAATGTATTTGGCTGCTTAAAACATTACAAGTTAAAGGGTCCAGGAATTAAAGAGACCTTGGGGTCTAGCAAATGAAAGCTGGCAGTATGGGTGGGAGACTCTCCACTCAGATTGTATTTATGTCTAAAGAATGCTAAATACCTCCATATTCTCCTTTCAAAGCTTTTCCAAGCCATTGAAAAGACTGATTTTGCTTTTCTACAGAACAATGTGGGTTATTTATTAATGTTTATAAGAAATATTTCAGTACTGCTACCTCAGGGTTTGAAACCAACGGGGCTAGATAAAGCACATCTGAAATCTGAAGAATCCTAATAATGTCAGCCTTGTATCCTGTGCAGAGCCTGGTTTAAAATGAAATATTAAGTTGTTGAGTCATTTAAGTACCTGGAAACAATTCACACCAGACTGGGAGGAATTTATTAGAAAAACACATCTCAGTCTCCCAACATGGGAACCCACAGAGCTCACTGTGCACAATTATCAACTGCAGAGTTCTATTACATTCTATAACTGGCAAGTTCCCCGGCCTAAATCTAAATTCTGACTGGGAATCTCCTCCTTACCATAAAGTCACAGTAACAAGATAGCCACAGAGCCTCAAAATTCTTTATACATGTATCTCCCTAGGGGCTCACCCTTTCTCAGATTGACACTGTCCTCTGAGGACAAAAACTGGGCATGTGGTGTGAGCAAGGCCCCTTTCACTAAGCCAGTTCCTAATTACGCAGTCTTCCTCCAGCGTGCTCAGCGGCAAAGCAGGGCAAGCACAATGAACTCATGTTGCACGGCTCCGGATAATGCTGGTCATTTAATGTGGTTGAATATCGCAGCCAGGGCCTTCCTGTTTCCAAACCAGCCAATTGAGTTGTGGGGCGAGTGTGTTTCATAGTCTTTTGCCATCCCATGTAACACAAAGAAGAGTTTGATGTCTGTGCCCTAAATACTTAGCATACTACACTGAGGACCAGCCGTTACTCTGCACAGCAGTGGAGGCCGTGCTACTTGGACAAATTAGGGTAGAACTCAGTTTGCTAGGCAGCACCATGCCTCTGACCTCATAGTTAGGGTGGACTCAGTGTGACTGGAAGAATCTTTAACAAGAAAATATTTTCTTTCTTTTCTCCATCTTAAACACACAGACATGTTAGTTCTTTTAGAAACCTAAAACCAGTTGAGTTTAACCATCCATTTTCACACAAGACATTTCTTTCCTTTATTTATTTATTTGTTTGTTTGTTTATTTATTTGTAAAATCACTTGTGATCTTTAAAATTTAATGAAACAGCATCTTAAGCACAATTCAAGAGCTGCATAATAAAACAGCTATACATCCAGGCAATGATTCTGTTCTAAGAAATGGATGATATGTAAATATTGCCTTCTTTCTATGCAAGGAAATGCTCTGATAATCTGAACATGTGAAAATCCAGCTGGGGTGGGCCTCAGCTCTTTGCCTTTCAGTAGTAAAAGGGAATCCAGATTTGTACACAAGCAGTCTGTTCATTTTACCCATAATAGCTTGGCAGTCAGATTATTCCCACGTTTCAGCTGAAAAAGAAATGCTGTGAATAGCAATAGAGCATGTGAACCAATGGACTGAAGTGTTCTTTAAGTTAGAGTCCAATCCATTCCTTTCTTCTTCCTTCTTCCCTGTCCTCCACTTATAAGCAACACTATCTTAAATATCCTAGGCAGCTAGGAATAAAAGATCTACAGAGATCATATAAAAAACACACTCTTATTTTTCCTTTCCTAGCCAGACCTTGTCTGGCAAGAACACCAGACTTGTGTGTACTTGGCTCATTCACCTCACTCTGTCTTGCTTTCACACTCTTACCTTTATTGTCCCATTTGATTCATCCGCCCTACTTAGGCAATGGGCATCTTCAAGTCACCTTATATCCCTTTTGGAAAAAAGTAGAGAACACATAGATGGATAGACTAGTAGATCAAATGATATAGGAAAATAATTACAATATCGTTCGATAACTATCTATGGCATGGCATTCCTTTAATAGAGAAAACCCAAGGTGCCATCCTAGAAATAAGCTGATTCCTTGGAATGTGTAAGTGTTGCCCCTGGGAACTAGTGGTCAGGGATCAGGATGACTGATGAAGAGGAAGGAGATGACTTTGGAGACCTGCACACTTGTGTAGGTTTCAGGCCAATCTTCTCTTCCCTTTGACTGTGCTCCTGCATGTCTTTTGCTCATGCTCCAAGTACAACACAGGAGAGATTTGTCTCATTGCCATGGTTCTATATTCCACCCAAGGGTTTAAAGGTAGTTGTCTTCTTGCTGCCTTAAAGAGTTTTGGGTCCCTCCAGGACAAAGCAGCCAGACTGTGGAGGGCAGAACTTCACTGGTGGCTGCTAGGAAAGAATTATTCTTAAAAATATGCCAGCCTTGACTGTTTTCCCTAAGGTTTCATGGTCTTGCCTCCACACTTTCCTCCAATGGCATTTTGGCATAGCCTTAATGTATTACTCTAATATCAGTGTATTACTTTAAAAGAAAAAGCACACCGGGGAGGAGTAGCCAGTTTTCTTGCACTCTCACTCCCAGTTAAGCGCCTGGTCTGGAAAACGTAGGGCCTCATTGCCATGATTTATCATTCTGGTGTCATTCCCGGACAGCCTGCCTGCTCCCCCAGCTCAGCTTTTCATCATCATTTCGGGACTGTTTGCTTAGCTTTCACATTGCTGTTGCAATTGTGTTTTGGACCTGACCTCCTGGCAAGCTGTAGGCTTGGCTGAGGAAGCTGGCAGAGGCTGAGCCCGGTGGAGGAAAGTGGCCCAAGCTCCTGAGGAAAGGAGGAGATTGGGAAGGGACTCTGAGATATGCTTTCTGAGTCCGGAAGAGGATTCATCAAACAACCAGCGTGATATTATTTTGTAGCATTCCCCAGTGACAGGGTCACCATTGTGGAATAGCCCCATTTTTTCTCTCCTTATTCCAACTCCCTTCTCAGACCTATATGTTGTTACTGCTCAACAAAATGATTGTAATTCTCTCCAAATTATGCATCATGAAATAGATCCAAAAGCAGCCCCAAGGGTAGGACACATCTGCCTCCATTTAGGAAGCAGGATCCTGGGAGCCAAAGGATCTCCTGGGTCTGCTAACAGCCACCCCATTACACTCCAGACTGAGCCTGCAGGTTAGTGAGACAGCAGAGATGGAGAAGAGGAAAGAGCTATGGCCTGGACATCTGGAAATCCAGGTGTCTAGAATCACCTCCAACACTAACTTCTGTTGTGTTGATTTCTGTCAACTTTATAACAAACTGCCAGCCTCCATCATTGCCTAGCAGGGATGGGTTTAGCATTATTGATCACATGATGTGGTAAGCTATTTACATAGCTTACCTCAGGACAACTCTTAAGGAGTAAATAGTTGTATCCCAAATTTATAGTTGCTCAGAAAGGGAAAGCAATGACCTAAAGCTGCACAGCTAGTAAGTGCTAGAAGATTGAGGTGTTCCTAACTTCTCTTCTGAGAAAGAAGAAGGCCAGCCAGCCCAAGCACATATTCTGATTCTTAGTCAAACATGCACATTAGAAGGATGTTATTGCCATCAAAACCAAAAAATTACTGAGTCCCTTCAGTGTAAGGGAAGAAAATATTTCTAGTTTCATATGGAGGAAATGCCATCAAAAACTCAGCTTGGGCACATAGTGCCTGCCCACTTTTCTTCAGGATTATTTGGATCACCTTATGATATGAACTTTTGGGTATGATGCTTTCTGCTGTCAGTCCAGATGAGCAGGGCTGTTCAGCGGGAAAAGCAGTTTTGAGCAAGAAAAGCCTCAAGGCTGATTCTGGCTGTCTCACTGCCAGAGAACTCATCATGTAGTTTGTCAGGGTTTCAGTTCCTCCACCTCAAAAGAGAAACTGAAACCCCAGGCTCACAGAGCTATACAATGAAGGTAAGTACAAACATTTTTTAGGGTTTACAAGGAAGCTACCACCAAACAAAAGGTTACACTTGAGGTAATGTTTGATTGTTTCCTGTCCCCACCCAGGAAGACAGGAGAGGAGAGAATTTTCCATTAACCTGCTTCCCTGCAGAGGGGTAGGGAGAGGTCCCCTTCTCTTTGGAAATAGTCTTTCCTTCCTTGTTACCTGCTATCCCCAACACAGGGACAGAAGCAATTTGTTTTATCAAATTGTGTAACATCAGTATTTTCCTCATGGACAGGGGATTTGGGGCTACCGGTAGCTGAGGAAAGTCTCCTGGTTAGTCGCACTTAATCTTAGAGCCTGGTGCCGAATGAATGTTATTTTGCTCCCCTAGTAACATGATTGCTCTGTAGACTTAGGCGTTGGGGTAACAGACTGCAGGTCACCTGACTTCTTAGCTTAGTTGCTTGGGTCTCTGGGGAAAGGACCTGGGTCTCAGTCCAACCCTAGGGCTCTTTCCTGATATAGCTGCATACACCCAACAACCTACATAAAAGGTCAGAGCTAGACTGCAGATCTCAGCTGTCCATCCGGGCTCCTCCTAGGTCCTCTCC